TTTTCTATATGGGAGAAAAACATTGCTAACCTGACACTACACACGATGTTGTGTGGAGACTCAACGATAAGGTCTTTGTTTTTTTCTCTCTTTTCTATCAAAAGATCAAGACAACAAGACAAAAACCACATGGGAAAATGATGTTTTTCATTCTTAAATGTTTTGCTGCCTCAGGTCATTCCCAATCTATAAGGTGGTAACTAAACACTAAGCCCTTAGTGTAACAAGTTGATGGCTGTGGCTACGATTATCAACTTTAACAAGTCTAATAGTAGCCTCCTGCTGGAATAGGTGAGTAATAAACGTGGGGTGAAGGCTGATTTAGCCGAATACCCGCGAAAGCTGGGTTCCAAGGGCCATCAGTGCTGGAGTGAGGACTGGGGCAGGGGGCTGGCAGGGCTGCGGGACGGGTGGAGGGCAAGAAATGGATCCGGTGGATCAATGGTTTAGAGTCACGGAACTGCAGGAATTCAGGCACACCAAGCTGAGCATACTGTGCTTTCTACGGCCAAATGTGGAGAACGCTTCTTATCGTCTGTGATTCCTGCCTCTAATTAAAACTGGGTGTTTGGTTTACTTCATTCCCAAAGCATAAACCTTGGCTTTTTATAGCCCAAGCAGTGTGCTATTTTAAACATGTAGAGGAAATGCATTTTCAGTTACAAACATTTGCTCCTGTGAATCTGTTCTTATTTGCTAGCAAAGAATGTGGGACAGGATGTTTTACCCTCCTGCTCTGGTTTTCCTGTATTGCTTACATCTGTTTAGAGAGAAGAAAAATAAACAAATAAAGTGTTTCTGCTGGACAATTTCTATAAACTGAAGCAACTTCAAAAATGAAAATGAAAAACATCTGTGGAAAAGTATTATAATAATTCTATTTTAATAAATTGGATTATTTCTATAGATTCTTTCCTGAAAAGATCTCCCACACCAGGCATGTGCAGGCTGCAGCATATACTACTATCTGCACTGATAAAATGTGCCCACTTGGACACCCCAGACCAGATGCATTCCTCTTGACCCTGTCTTCTTCCACACACAACTACAACTTGGAGAAGCTTTCTGAGATGCATTTCAGAAAAATGATCATGCCAACTTTAAAGGTCACCTTCTGGATTTATCCAGCAATTTATTCAGAAATTTTCACGTACAACTCTGAGCACTTTTTTTACTCAGTTAGACATATCCTTGTACTCTGTTACATTTCACTACTGCACCTTCGAAGAAACGGGGGTACCTGGGGGGCTCAGCTGGTTAGGTGCCCAACTCTTGGTTTGGGGTCATGAGATAGAGCTCCATGTTGGGCTCCATGCGAGGCTATAGCCTGCTTAAGAGTCTCTCTTTCTCTCTCCCTCCACACCCCCCCACCCCTGCACTCAAATAAATAAATAAATAAAATCTTTAGAAGAAATCAATCTCAATCAAGAAACTGACTTAGTGAAATTTCACTCGACCCTTTTATAAGGGAGTTAGCAGTCCACTCATCTACTGAAAGGTATTTTACCGGTTGGTCCCTCTAGATTCCATCTGTCCTTCTGCTCTCCATCCCACATGTGGTCCTGTATGAAGAGCTGGAGAAAGACACTCTTCATCAAATTTTGGTCAGGCTCCTTTGAGCCCTCTCCTCAACTAGGCCTCAATCTTGGCCTCCATCCTTGCTGGGTGTGCATTTTAACAATTTAGCCCAATTTTAGCAAGAATCCTGCTCGCTCAGTTTTAAGAGAATGCTCCACTCTTGATATCTGATCAGCCTGGACACCTGATTAAGTTCCTCATTCCCCACCCTCGACGTGTAAGTACGTACTCAGCCTGCCTTCAGTGAGGATCCCGTTAAGTCTGTTTAGCAAAAATCTCCCTACCCCTGGGGTATCTCAGTAACGTTCCATCCTCAGACACCTTCCTACTGCCCTCATTCTGCTCCCTGGCCATAAATCCCCAGCTGTCTTTGCTGTACTGAGAGCTGAGCCCCATCCCTCTCCCTTATCGTGACAGTCCTGCCACCTACTGCAATAATCCCAATGATGTCTTCCTTACCATTTTAATAGGCATCAGAATGGAGTGTCCTGGCAAGACATGGGAGAAGAGGAGAAATGGGAGATCTGAGTATTAATGTCCCTGGCTTCGCCCTGCAGAGTCCATTGCTCAAGCGAGGGGCTCAGTTCCTGTCAGGAGGCCCTCCCTGACTTCAGTGCCAAAACTGTCCCCCCTCTTGCCCCTTCAGGTCTAGGGGAAGTAATGCAGCCCCGTATTACTCGTCCCAATTACACCACACTATCCTATCTCTGGTTTTTCATCACTTTGTGAGTTATTACATTCTCTTCAAAGTATCCCAATTTGAGGATGCCATCTGTTTCCTGCTGGGTCTCCCTAATACAGATATCATCTCAGCAATTTATCCTTCAGAATTATTGGCTCTTTCTAAGAAAGGAAGGCATGGATCCAGAAAGCAGTGAGGCTTCGCCGTGTGACTTAGTGACTGAGGCAAGCTGACCTTGTTAAGCTACCACTTCTCCCTCCTCTGGTTATCTTCATCATTATAGCAACAGTGTTTTCTGAAACACACATGGTTTCCAAGCAGAATCCCTAAGCATCAAAAGGGGATTATCTAAAGAAATATCCAAGGAGGCTAAAAGTAAAAATTGTGCTAGTTGAAATGAACTATGCTTGAACCCTAAGGTACAAGCAACTTTGCCTTTATTTCTATGTGGTACTTAATCCAGAGTTAACTTTTACAGTAAAACTTTTAATAGATGTCAGAGACACTGTTTAATAATACCACATATATGTCTGGTAACCCAAGTAAAAACTTGGGTTAAGTTTTTTCAAAAGATGATCTGTCAAATTCAGGCTGTAGTAGATTATGAAGTCAGCTCAGTGGCCCGTGACATTTTTTCTTAAAAATGATACATATTCCACACTATTATGTAAGATAGAAAATCAGAATTCATCATATGTAGCAAAGGTAAATATTTCACCAGGTTTCCTTTCACTTTTTTACATCTATTGTTATGAGCGCACTAGGGCATCCTATAAAATGCACTCCTTACTCTGAGTCAATCAAGTCTGAAAGCTACTGGTCTGAAGAGAATCCCTTTCAAACAATTTAACAATTACAAGGCAAAAAACAGGCTGCTTCAGCCTACAGCCTCACATTTTTTAATCTCAACCCTCACTAAAAATAGTTTATTTTGTCACTCAGTGTAAAAACTTTATGAAATAATACTTACCAAAGAGTATGTATGCTATTTTTTTAAGAGATTTTATTTATTTATTTGACACAGAGAGAGGGCGCGGACGGGCAGGCGAGCGGTAGACGGAGGCGGAGGGGGAAGCAGGGCCCCACGAGGCAGGAAGCCTGACGCAGGGCTGGATCCCAGGACCTTGGGGCCATGACTTGAGATGAAGGCAGACGCTTAACCAACTGAGCCACCCAGACACGACCCCCCCCGTTTTATTTCTTCTAAATGATGGTGGTAAACCACAGCCTGAAAACTGCCGGCCTCGAATCTGAGCAGGGCCAGTGCGAAGAGCCCGTTCGCTCCACTCCATTCCTCCCACGGCTGCTCTCTTTGGTGCGCACGCCGCTTCCGCCGTGGTAGCAAGCTCTCAGATCCCCTTCTTTCTTACGTTTCTATGTCACCGCCACGTGACTTCTGCCACCTACTCGCTCCAGTGAGAGCGAAAGCCTCGGGATAAGGAGCAACGAAGAGCATACGGGAGGTGTGGACAGGGCCTGGCCATGGACTTGCACTCACCGTCACGGCACACGCGGAGCCGCATCTTACCGCAAGCAACTGCCGCTCACAGCCTGAGGACTGAGGGCTGAGGGCATGTGGATGCAGTCCTGGGCCAGTGACAGATGGGAGCTGGAGAACTACTCCAGCATCCTTGCCCTTGCCGTGTCCTTCACCACCTCTCTGAGATACCAGAAGAACGGAGGGAGCACCAGCCGCTACTGCCAGTAATCTGCCAGAATCCACATCCTACCCAGGCTTCTTTCCCAGCCTGTCCACCGCCCTGCTAGGGCTTCCTGGAGTCGGCTCCCACACGAATGACCTGTACCCAAACCTCCGTCTCAGGGTCTGCTTCTGGGTAAACACAATCTAGATGAGCACACAAGCTTACACAGCACTGTGTGGAGCCAGCGCTACAAAGATGAGAAAGGCCTGTGCTAGGAAAGCTCAGAACCTGCTAGAAAAACCTGTGATTTTTTTCTTTAAATGAAAAAAACAAGAACCAAAATTTTACTGTTCGTAGCAACAAGATAAGTACATATGTTTGCGGAGGGAAGGAAGAAGTGACAGCTGTGTGACTGAAGGGCCAGAGAAGCACCTGGAGGTGACATGTTCCTCCCCAAACCCTCTAGAAGACAGCCCTCCCCACAGGAGTCAGCAGCTGGTGAGTGCTGCCAATGGGCCACAGTCCTCGTTCACGTCCCTGCAGGCTAGTGCCCTGGCTTATCGTATTTACTGTGATGCTTTACATCTTACGTACAGGTTATAAAGAAGGGAATTTTTATTTTCCCCAATGGAAAAAAATTCTAGTCTTCAGCTAAAAATAACTCAAGTAATATGGAAAATACGAAGAAAGAAAAACTATTATGTTCCCAGCAGTGTGTCAATAGAATTACTTGCAAATCAGCTCTGACCTTCCAATGTTCCTTTGAGGTCCTGAGGGGATGGGACTGAGGGCTCAACCCCAATCTCCACTAGAAGTTCTAATAAACCACTGACATTTTCATTCAAAAATTATTTTTAAATGTAAAATCTCCTACACGTTCGGCTCTGTGGTCAATGCTGTAAATCAGCACTTTCTTCAGGCTGGAATCAAACGAGAAACCTAAGGCTCATTTTTCATTGCACCTTCCATTTTGGCAAACATTTCAGCAAAGGCAAACGAAAACACGTCCTGCCAGCTCCAGCTCCAGCGGGTGCTTGTACCAAGAACGGCTTCTGCAGCACGCCAGGCACACCCGAGCCTGAGACCAGAACACTCACCCAGACCCGGCAGGGAGTGACGGCAGCGCTGCAGCGACAGGAGCCGGTGGCTTCTCCTTCTCATTTTGCTTGAAGAAAGATTTGGCTTCTTTAGATGTAGCATCCACTTCCTTAGTCACCCTGTGCCAAGGAGGAAAACGTCAAGTTTTTAAGAAGAGTAAGAAGAGAAACAAAATCTACGGAAAGGGGTAAGTAACAACAAGGAAAACACCCAGTGGGCTTCCAATGAGTTCTGGCTGCTGAGGTTTCTGATTCAAGTCCACTACCACAGTTCTAAGTAAAGGCATCTTCCTTCACTAAAGAACAACAACGTATGTACTTGATCTCCCTCAAATCGCCTCTGTTTCTTCTGTCAGCTTGCCACACACACCAGTGGTCACTGCTGAATCACGGCTCCTGTGGGCTGCGGATGGCAAGGCTGAGAAGGTTCTCCTACTGCCCCTCACATGCGGATTAAGACTCACAATTAAAGGTCTGGGGAGCAATGGGGAGATGGAATCTCTGGGAGGAAAACACTAGCATTATTTTGAGAAGAAGAGTAACAATATAAACAACTGGAAATATTCTGCAGAATGCTCCTGTTTCACAGCTAAAATAACCCAAAGATGGAAGAAAATGCCTTCGAGCTGGCTAACCAACACTCATGTGCGAGTGGAAAAAAATACAGGATGGAGAATCCTGTCCAAGTTCAAATCTGGAAAAACGGTCTTCAATAAAACTGAGTCCTGGGGCGCCTGGGTGGCGCAGATGGTTAAGTGTCTGCCTACGGCTCAAGTCATGATCCCAGGGTCCTGGGATCAAGTCCTGCATCAGGCTCCCTGCTTGGTGGCGAGTCTGCTTCTCCCTTTCCCTCTGCTTCTCTCCCTACTTGTCCTCTCTTGATCTGTCAAATAAATAAATAAAATCTTAAAAAATAAAAAAAGGTTAAAAACAACAAAACTGAGTCCTAAAGGTTCAGACAATGCCTGAGATTTCAACTAAAGAGAGAACAAGTGTTTAATGCCTGCTTAGTCTTGCCAAGTCAACAAAAACATCTGAAGAATTTTATTTAAATTCCAGTCTATCTGTAGGAGGGTCCAAGATTAAGGTCACTGTACTGTGAGCGGTGAGCCAGGTCCTCCGGAATGAACTGGTCAAGACCAACTGCAGGTGAATCGGATAAACTCCATCTCCGCAGGGATGTCAGTCTCTGTCTCTTCTCTCCTTCCAACCGGGCTTCTGGGGAGCAGAAGCAATTTTTCTTCACACCTACACTATGTCACCTATCAAGTGGCCCAGAGTAAGAGTCTGAGAGTTCTGTACTGAGAATCTTCACTAGGAAACACTGGCAAGTTTATATTGAGCGGCAGCTTAAAACACCACCACCTTTTGTTACTCCCCATCCATGGTCTTGCAATGGTCAGTATTATTCAGAGGATCAAATGGAAATTGCTGAACCTCTAAAATCTGGTCTCACTCTTTCCCGGGCTTAGTTTGTGTGTCTCTCTACTCTCCCCAATGACCTTCTCAGTAATGAGAGCCAAGAGTAAAAAATAAGAGGGAGAACATACACCACAATTAAACCATCACTCAGCAAATACATACTCCTTGCCTCGAACCACAAAGAAACTTGTCTAACCTACTGATGTTGAGCTTAGGTACATGTCTCAATGGTCAATGAGACGGGAGCTGATCTGACAGGAAAGCAGCTTTAATGCTGGCGCTGTTTCACCTGCCCCTTGAGCTCCTCCCCTTTGCCTCGTAAGAATACGCCTCAAGTAGCAGCAGGTCCAAGACTGCTGAAGGACACACACTGAAGATCTGAATCCAGCAAGCAGCCTGGAGCCAAACGCAGCCTGGCTGAACCCCAGACGCCCGGAAACACACGGACACCAAACAAACGCTTACTGCTGTATACCAGAGGTTTGGAATGGCTTGTCGCATAGCATTTCTGTAGCAATGGCAGACACATTTACCTTTCATGAGCAAAAAATCAGAAATCTAAGAGGCTAAGTTACTAAGGTCAGTAGGAGTGGCACCGCATGACTTCGGAGACCCGCTGATAAAAAGTGACACAGCTCTCACCTGCTGCTCCCTCTAGAGTGCAGCTCTGACACACGAAGCCTGGCTACTCCGGATCCACCAGGCTACACAGAACACCTGGGAAGGCCACAGAGAAAGAGATGCCCGAGGAGCCTGCTCCAGTCCAGGCCCGAGACGTGGGAGCAAGGAAGCCTTCGAGATGGCTCCACACCCAGCCACTAACTCCAGCTGCACAAGAGACCCCAAGCAAGAGCTGCTGGAGCCCCGCCGCCCTCCACAACTATGGCAAATGACAAGAACACAACTGTTTAAAGCCACTACATTCTGGAGTAATTCCCTACACCGCTATACAGATGACCAGAATAAACCCACATCCAAACATAAAGCTTAATGCAGAGTCCCAGTCTACTGGACTAGAAAGAGGTACTTTAAATCTCCTTGCCCTAGCTAGAGTCTGGGGCAGACCTGAGATGGCTCATGAAAAACAAGTGGACGCATGCACTTAGAAATGACAGTTTGAACACAGACTTTATTCTCTACTCCTTACTAAAACTCTACAAAATAGTGGTAAATAAATTTACAAAGGCAAAACCACATAAGGATATGGAGAAGAGAGAGAGAAAATATGACAAGCGAGTTTTCTGAAGGTAGAAAGTAAACAGACAAGTAGAAATTGGCTTTAGTTTTTGTTTTCTCTAATCTAAGTCTGTAGCCATATGGAATGGCCAATAACAAGCCAATCTACACCATGGTATTCTACAAAGGCTCAGTAAATTGAGATACCAGGAACCTTTGAAGGGAGAGGAGATGAGCAGGGCTAAAAATCAGTTGAAAGTTAGTCTCGGAAGCAACTAAGTCCAGATCACCTTCTCCAACCTCATACCATAGGCCACTGTCCCCCACCCAACCCAGCAAAGCCCATTACTCCTTGGAGAAAATAAAAACCACGGAAGTTCGAAACTCACAGGGCAGGGCTGAAGTCTCATTCCGAAAACAAGGTAATTAAATGAAAATCTATTTATTCACTTTTCCTTTTTGCACAACAACCTCAAAAGCTATGTGTTCCAGACGGCTGAGTTAGTTACGAGATGGAGTGCTGCCCAACCTGTGTAGGACTTTGTATCAATAAGAAATAAATAGGCAGAGTTGACCCTTGAACAATGTGGGGTTTAGGGGCACCAACTCCCCGCACAGTTGAAAATCTGCGTTTAAGTTTAGACTTCCCCAGAACTTAACTACTAATAGCCTACCACTGACAGAAAACCTTACTGGTAACATAAACAAATGATTTAACACATATTTTGCATATGTATTTTACACTGTATTCTTACAATAAAGGTAAAGAAAAAATACTGAGAAAATCATACAAGAGAAAATGGATTTACAGTATAGCAAAAAAATCCATGCAGTTCAAACCCATGTTGTTCAAGGGTCAACAGTACTGTGTTATGCTACTGAGTTTCTGGGTTTGTTGCCACAGCGTGGCCTAGCATAACTTTACTATTATATCTATTTAATAGGAATTTCAGAAGAAGAGAAAATACGGAAGAGGTTGTCAACAAAAAAGAAAATTTCCTAGAAGGATAACTTCTCCAAAAAGAGCCACAGAATACGTGACGTGGCAAGTTTTAAGATTCATTGTAGTATCACTGTAAAATGTTAGATTGTTCATGATAAGAGAAGATAAAGATCAAGTGGGTCAAGGTATAAGGAAAGTAAAAGAAGCCTTTATGCAGAGCATCTTTTGTTTGGTTTACCTATTTTACCACAGGACTGACAAGGCTCCTGCAGCAGCCAAGCAGAGCAATTCGGTGAACATTTTCTAAAAAGCACCCGGGGTCCAGGCATTGTGTTATATGTCAATCTTAGAAATAAAAATATATGCATGGTCTCTGCCCTTCAGGGGTTCGGGATCCATCAGGACAGCAAACCATGAAATAAGTTATGACAACACGATATATAGTAATTACCACAAAGAAAGCATGAAATGAGTACAGCCTATGGGAGTATCTCTGTTAACTTCTCAATGCCAAAGTCCTATCCACAGTCACAAAGAAATGACACCTATAAACTGCTGTTTCTCTCAGGGACCTTGGGAATCAATACAAAGTAACACAAGCAGATTTTTAGTCTTCATTAATAGTATGACTGGAAGAATTCCATTTTGAACAAGCAATAAGAGATTCAGCTCTCAAAATATCTTCAAGGAGGAGAACAGTTCAATAACAGACCACTTCTAATAGATAAGAGGGAACCCTGATAGGAAAGGCCCACTATTAGCAATAGTTAGTTCAAGTGTTATCTGCAGAAATGTCATTTTAACTTCATTTCACTTACTTAGAACTTCCTGAAAACTCTTTATTAGGCAGAAACTTTCCATGACTGGCCTTTTCCGAAAGGTGATTCACTCAGGAAAGTCTGAGCCAACTGGCTCAGCTGGTTATCAGAAGGGTAAAAAAATACTATTTTTCCTCATTCCCAAAGGTTAACAAGCTACACGTTTTTCAAGAAGGAAAAAAAATAAAACCAAAAAGATAAAAATTCAAAGCTTAACAATTAAAACATAATTAGAAAAAACTAAAAGACTAATTTTGTGCCAACACTACCTTATGCTTGTACTTACAAATTCTTCCCAGTCATTACTAGCTCTTTCTCACCTTTCTTAAATATGTAGTAATGCTCTAAACTTGATACAAAGGAAAAAAGAAAAAGCAGAATAATGACCTCAAGATATTAAAAGATATGCTCAAATCCATATATCAAGTTTATATCTCGCTGTCAACTAAAACTCAGGCCTCCCAAGTTCCTACGTGAGGGCTCCTTGCAATACCTAAATTTTACGTATAAGCAATTTAAGTTAAAAAAAAAGAAAAATCCTGGGGCACCTGGATGGCTCAGTGGGTTAAGACTCTGCCTTTGGCTCAGGTCATAATCTCAGGGTCCTGGGATCAAGCCCTCCTCCATCAGCCTCTCTGCCCGGGCAGAAAGCCTGCTTCCCCCTCTCTCTCTGCCCACCTCTCTGCCTACTTCTCTCTCTCTCTGTCAAAGAGATAAATAAAATCTTTGAAAAAAAGAAAAAAGAAAAAAGAAAAATCCTTCCAACATGCTAATTAACAGGGTTTTATTTTCTTTCTTTTTTTTTCTTAAGATTTTTATTTATTTAATTGAGAGAGAGAGAGAGAGATCACAAGTAGGCAGAGAGGCAGGCAGAGAGAGAGGGAGAAGCAGGCTCCCTGCTGAGCAAGAGAGCCTGATGTGGGGCTCGATCCCAGGACCCCAGGATCATGACCTGAGCCGAAGGCAGAGACTTAACCCACTGAGCCACCCAGGTGCCCCTACAGAGTTTTATTTTCTTTAGGAGGAAGAATTTATAGAGAATATTTGTTTATTGTTACTTATCTCAGTAATGTATGTTTTTTTAAACTAATAAGCTTGTATTTCTTTTGAATACAAAATATATATGTGTGAGAATATGTATATTTGTAGGGGGAAAAAAGGTGCTTCCCTGAGCGTACTTCTTTGGGTTGCTTTTTTTTTAATAGACATGGTGCTGCCCTCTTCTGACAAATGACCAAAATAGCAGGCTCCCAAATACCCATCCAGTACTTAAAATTACCATCCATTTGTTTTATAAAATGAAATATGAAATTTGTGCCATTAATATAAATATTAATACATCCACAAAATTTATTTATCAGGGAATTTAATGATTTCTCCTAACAGATATTCACCAGCTTTTCTCACTCTCTCTCTTGGGCTGATGGTAAAATTGTAATAAATCTTTCTTGGGTATCCTATATGACATATGAGAAGTAACACAAGCCAAGAAAGATTTCTAAAAACTTTAAATATGTATTTCTAATGGCATATCACATACTTCCTGCATTATTTTGTAGGATTTCCAAACTATTAAAGGCTTCCTGTCAGTATTCTGCTACCCCCTACTAAATAGTTCCAGTGTGATTTCTGGCAGCAAAATAACATTACTAATTCACATCACCAGGAATTACCTAATGGATCCCCAAATGATTGATTATCAGAGAAATGGTGTCTTTGCAATGGAGAATTCTGAAAGGTATTGCCTAAGTGGTCTAACTTACCACCACCAATACTGAGTGTTATTGATGTCAAGTACTGGGGAAGACAAAACATCAACAACATATTTGTCTAGGTAACTAATCTTAAGTTAGTCATGAGGAAACTACACAAAATTCCAAACTGAGGACCATCCTACAAAACAAATGGGCTCCTAAAAACATACAGCTAACCCCTGAAAAAGCAGCAGTTAGGGGCACTGCCATCTGTCCACCCCACAGTTGAAAATCTATGTGTAACTTTGACTCTCCCAAAACTTAACTAGTAATAGCCTACTGTTACCGATAACATAAACAGTCAAATAACACATTTTGTATATGTATTACATAAAACACATTAAGAATATTATAAGAAAAATACATTTATGGTACTGCATTGTATCGAAAAAATATCTACATATAAGTGCACTTGTGCAGGTCAAACCCGTGTTGTTCAAGGGTTAACTGTGTATGTCAGTGTCATGAAATACTTAAAATGAAAGGCTTTAAAAAGGAACTTAACAAGAAAAGACTAAAAAGACTAAATGCAGAGTGTAATTTTACACTGGATGTTGGACTGAACAAGTAAAACAAGCTATATAAAGAATATTACTGAAATAACTGTTAAAAATTTTGAATAGAATCACATCTAGAGCTACTTAAAATATGGGCTACAAAACTAGTTGTTACTGGTCCAAAACAAGTTGGGTACAGAAAATTTAAGTTAGTATTTGCAAATTTGTTTAGCAATTTGACAATGTCACAACAGTCAAGACATGACAGGTAGACTCACTGTGTTAACCCAACATAGACCAATGCGGGTACTGTCAAACTGGCTAGCTATGTGACATAGCATATTAGTCACGCACAGTGAGACATAATGCATGTCTGTGTCAAATAAATAAATAAAATCTTAAAAAAAAAAATGTTTCAGTGAATGTTTTGAATTCCATTTCCAATCACAAGAATATCTACACACAGGGAACTCATGTATGCAGAATTCCTTATTTCCACTGAACTCTAACTTAATTACGACTTGACAGGATAAATTGATAAAACTGGCTACTGATGAAGTATTGAAGATGAACTTTGAAAATACGGTATCACTGACTTCATTTTATATAAAAGTAAAAATAAAAATCCTGAACTTACTGAAACAGCTTAAAAATCTTTATTTCCATCTTCATGAAAATATCTCTGTGAAATGGGTTTATGACAAATGTTATTTTAAAAAAAAAGAAAAGAAAGAAAACCAACACAGAAATAATTTCCATGTACAGTACCCTCCAGTAGTACTGTCATGTACCCAACTAGAAGCAGTAAATTAACAAGAAAGAAAGGAGTTATTTCGTCACATTAAAAACTAAATACAGGGGCACCTGGGTGGCTCAGTGGGTTAAAGCCTCTGCCTTCGGCTCAGGTCATGGTCCCAGGGTCCTGGGATAGAGCCCCACGTCGGGCTCTCTGCTCTGCAGGGAGCCTGCTTCCTCCCCTCTCTCTCTTTGCCTGCCTCTCTGCCTACTTGTGATTTCTCTCTCTGTCAAATGAATAAAATCTTAAAAAAAAAAAAAAAAAACTAAATATACACAGCATTTATTCAAAGTGTGCATCTAGATGTTAAGTATTGAGAATTGATTTTTTTTTAAGATTTCATTTATTTATCTAAATTATAGATCTGCTGTTTTCAAGTAATAAAATTTAAATAAATAGGGAAAAGGAAATTCTAGGCATGTGGCTCTCAGCTAGAAAAGCCAGGAGGTTATTAGGCTTCTAGCATTTTTTTAAAGTGGTAACAAACCTATAAATCAATTTTAAAAATAGTATCAACATCAGGAAATAATACAGGAACTGAATTTCTCTCCTAGTATTTTCAATTTTTACCTGATTTCAGGTGCCTCAGTGGGGCTCAGACTTCATAGGTAAGAAAAGTAATAAAGGGAAAAATGACTCAGCCAAAGTCACAAATCATGACAACAAGCGGAACCGAACATTTAACTCACATTTTCTTGTTTCTGTTCGGCCAAATACTTCATGATACCCACAACTACACCACCATATGTGAAAGGACTTTTCCTCCCATGTTTCCTGATAATTCATGGAGCCACCATTCTCCTGGAGTGAAAAAGAGAACTCTTCCAAAATATTATGATGATAGGGTGCAATGAGGACAGATGTCCAACACCATTTAATAAGATATGTTTATTTTTAATTTAAATTTTTTAAAATTTTTAAAAGAACTAGTTTTGAAGTTTGTGAAGGTCACCTTACCTGACTTCTTCACCAGCAAAATCAAACACCTTAGTGATTTTAACTTTTTCAGCTTCTTTCGGTTTCTCAAGCTCTTCAGCTCTAACCAACGATTTACTTGAACTTGTCTCTTCAGTATTCTCTCCTCTCTACAAAATAGGTAAGAAATGCAATCAGTTTCACTTAAGGATGAAACGTAAAAGAACCCTTCCACCATTCTATTACGGCTATTCTTAAATGTTCCATCTCTAAACAGTTAAAGACCTATCAGAAATTTATTTGATTAAAAAAGGCTTATTTTTTCTACAATAGGGAATGCTTTGCTTTTCACATGAAAGAGTTATTATCAAAACGGATCTGGTTCGATTTCTGCTGTAAGCATCGAATCTCATTTTGGAAATAAAAACGTCTATCTGGGGAACGTAGGGTACTTCTGGGGAAGCTTATATCTCATTCAGTTATCAACGTACGTTAACTTGTGTACTTGGGGGCCCTTTAGGTTTTGGTCCCACATCATTGAGGAAGCTGGCCCACAGCTCGTCCTCCTTCTTCCTCCTTGCAGCCTCCGACCCCAGGCCTTCTTCCTGCTCTGCAGCTGCATCTCCCTCCTCACTGCTACCTCCCTCGGACTCCTCGTGAGCATCCTCCTCTTCTTCGTCTTCTAATGAGAGGCCACCTTGTTTTCTCTTCCTAATCACCAGTGGTCACAAGAAAAAGGAGAGACAAGACAGATCAAGCAAAATGATTTCAGCTATCCATTCCTCAATTCCAAACATAACGCTGCAAACCTGAGAAAACTTTAAAATCTGGGGACTACGGATTAACACCCACCCTAGGGGGAAGCAAGGGGGGTAAGCTGAGATTCTGTGGAAGAAAACAAGAACTGAGCTCTCGCAGTTAGCAATTTCCCCCAAACACTTAGAATCAAAATGCAGCGTTCTACTTCCAAGTCAGGATCAGCTATTTTCACCAAGAACACACTCAAAAATCACCTCGCTGAATCAGTCCATCCAGAAAGTGTGTTCCAAGAATATATACCCCAAATGGAGAACACTTCTATTGACGAAAGCCTTAAATTTATTTGCAGTTTCTTCCTAGAGTTCTCAGGGAAGAGGGGTGGGAAACCCATCTTATTCTCCCACTTTCTGAAAATTTGACAGCTGGATTACAGAAAAACTCAAGGACAAAAGAACTGGGCCCAAGACCTAAAAGAGTAAATTGTTTCTTAGTCTATTTTGATTTCAAGTGAATCATCTAATACATAAAATTCTTTTTTTTCCCTTTTTATAAACTATAACCTGCTTTTTTACTTCAATGCTCAGAAAGAAAGAAACACTAATCAAAGAGAGGTAACAGACTTCTACAGAAGCTTTTCATAGCTGAGCTAAATAACCTGTCAGAATTTTCATAATTGCGGGGGGGTGGGGGGGCTGTAATTCAGTACCAGGCCTGTGGAAAGTAATTTGCTAATCTTTATGAAAACTTTTTTTACTAGAGATTAACTCCGGATCAAATAACTCTACTTCTACAAATCTGATTTACAGATGTACCTGTACCTGTATACAAAGCCATAACAAAGAATATTCACTGCAGTCTTGTTTGTGGTAGTAAACACAGGTATAATCTCAATGGTCCTCAGTAAGGGAATACTTACAAAATGCAAGGTGGATCCATATAATGTAACATTATGCAGTCACTGAAAAGAGTAAGGTACAGCTAAATGTACTGGCACAGTACACATCTCCAAGATGCGAAACAACGAAAATGAGAAACTGTAAGTAGAGGCTGCCGCTCTTTGTTCTGGAGGGGTTTTTTGTTTGTTTTTTTAAAGAGTAGGAAATACATGCCTACCCACACACACAAGCTGTGTCTGACAACATAGTTCTTCTGAGGCAAAGAAAGCAACAAGCGCACACCGAGGGACCCATTTTTGCAGTAATTGAGTTTTTAATTTTTACCAAGTATATGTGATACCTATTAATTTTTTTTAATTAAAACTCAAAAACTTTTAAAGCTTCCCTGAGACTGAGAATTTAATCCTAAGATGTCACCAAACGCTTCCCTTGAATAGACAAAGGTAAGAAGCCCCTGTAGGAAGAACTCATGAGACCAATCCCAGCCATCTGGATACTGGGACAGTAGCCCCTTGCTCCTAAGGGCCTTGAGGGCAGCATCACCTGGCCGGAATGCTCTGAGCCTTTCTTTTTTTCCCTTTGGTTTTCTGTGTCTGCTCTTCAGCATCCACTTCATCTTCCTTCACTAATTCATTCACATCATCTTCACTATACTCTCCACCTGCAATCACATAATAGAGTGGTCAGACATATGGGAATAAAGGTTTTCACATCAAGACAAAACATTTTCTTTCATTAAAAATCAAGTCTAGTACTTTCCTCTATTCTCTAACTAAAATATCATTTCCTTAGGGAAGTCTTCCCATCCCTGAAGACTAGGCTAAGTTCCCCTATTCTAGGCTTCCATGACAGGCCAAATTATCCTCCATAAATGTACCCACTTTATATTTAACGTTTGCAATTTCTGCTATGCTCTACATACCACGCGGACATGGATCTTGTTTAAGTATGTGCTGGATGAATGAATAGAAACTGCACCTGTACGACTAAACTGTTCAAAGAAATTAACGTTCCCACTGTATCTTAGATATCTTCCAAAAGTAATCAAAAGAGACCTTGACAAAAAAAGGCCTAAGGACTACCAGTTAGACACAGCAGAAAGAACAAACATGTCTAGTTCCCATCTTCAGACACTAACAATCAGGGGTCCCCAACAACAGGGGTTACCTGGACGACCAGGATAAGCACACTCTGTGGGCACCAGTCAATAAATCCCATCCACCTGAAGATTCAACTGGATTTTTTCTATTTTACTTCATGTAGCCTTTTATTTGAAGTATAGCATACACACTGAAGAACACACAAGTCTACTGTACTGCTCAATGAAATTACACAAAGTGAACACACTTGTATAACCAGGCCCAGCTCAAGAACCAGAACATGAACCAGCATCCCAGAAGGCCCCTCAGCATCCCTGGAATGCCCCGTTCCAGGCATCAGCCACTACCCCATCCAAGGGTCATCCTGACTCCAAATATCAGAGATAAGCTTTGCCTCTCTTTGACCCTTAAATAAACAGAAGTCTACAAAATGCACACTTAAGTGTCTGGATTTTTTCACTCAACATTCTCTGTTGGTCACCCATACTGTTTGTTGTAGCTCTAGTTTATTTACTCCCATTCCGAAACAGTGTGTCATTGCGTGACACCATGTGTTTATCCATTCTGCTGCTGATGAACAATACGGCTGTTTCCAGTGTGGGGCTATTACAAATAGTACTGTTTTGAATATGCCTGTACATCCAATCAGCTTCTAAATATTTCGCTCACAATCAATCAAGGGCCACCAAACACTTAAGGAAAGCCTCCAAAATGAAAGGCAAGACTAAAAACAAGAAAGGAATTCAGGAGAAACAGAATTTTTAAAAACCCAACAAAACCCTTTATAACTCTGGCACCTGCGTGGCTCAAAGGGTTAAGCCTCTGCCTTCAGCTCGGGTTAAGATCTTGGGGTCCTGGGGTCCTGGGATCGAGCCTGACGTCAGGCTCTCTGTTCAGCAGGAAGCCTGCTTCCCCCCACCCCCTCTGCCTGCCTCTCTGCCTACTTGTGATCTCTCTCTCCCTGTCAAATAAATAAATAAATAAATATCTTAAAAACAAAACAAAACAAAAAAAACCCTTTATTATTAATATCCTCAAAGAGGGTCCCTGGGTGGTTCAGTTGGTTAAAGGTCTGCCTTCAGCTCAGGTCAAGACCCCAGCATCCCAGGATCAAGTCCAGCATTGAGCTCCCTGCTCAGTGGGGAGCCTGCTTCTCCCTCTCCCTCTGCCTGCTTGTACACTCTCTCTCTCTCTCTGTCAAATAAATAAATTAAATCTTTAAAGAAAAATAATATCCTCGAAGAGATAAGAGAAAATATGGCATTTGTGAAATAGTGACTTAAACATTTTTCAAAAAACTTTAAATTTTAGGGCGCCTGGGTGGATCAGTGGGTTAAAGCCTCTGCCTTCAGCTCAGTCATGATCCCATGATCTCTCTGCACAGTGGGGACCCTGCTTCCTCCTCTCTCTCTGCTTGCCTCTCTGCCTGCTTGTGATCTGTCAAATGAATAAAGAAAATAAATCTTAAAAAAAAAAACTTTAAATTTTTTTTAAACTCTTGAAAAGTACAAATATAATGGCAGAGATTTAAAAAAAGAACAAAGCTGATAAGAAGGAGCCAGTCATGTGAAAATACTCAGAATACACATTCAAGGCTGAATACCACACACTAAGTGATAAGTGAAAGTGTCTCCTGAACAAAGGACTGAGTTCCAGGCTAAGATGAAGGCACAAATTTCTGAAGACACAAATGTCATTCCGCTTCCCCTGAAACCCCAGTGAAATCATTACAGCAAAAAGACTTTTAAAAAGCACAAACCGCTTTTTCGCAACGGGTTTGCCGCCAGAACACAGGTGTCGTGAAAACCACCGCTCAACCTAAGCCAGAATGGGGAAGGAAAAGACTCATATCAACATTGTTGTCATCGGACACGTAGATTCGGGCAAGTCTACCACTACTGGTCATCTGATCTACAAATGTGGTGGGATCGACAAAAGAACTATTGAAAAATTCGAGAAGGAGGCTGCTGAGATGGGAAAAGGCTCCTTCAAGTATGCCTGGGTCTTGGATAAACTGAAAGCTGAACGTGAACGTGGTATCACCATTGATATCTCCCTGTGGAAATTCGAGACCAGCAAGTATTATGTGACCATCATTGATGCTCCAGGACACAGAGACTTTATCAAAAACATGATTACAGGCACATCTCAGGCTGACTGTGCTGTCCTGATTGTTGCTGCTGGTGTTGGTGAATTTGAAGCCGGTATCTCCAAGAATGGGCAGACCCGTGAGCATGCCCTTCTGGCTTACACACTGGGTGTAAAACAACTAATTGTTGGTGTTAACAAAATGGATTCCACTGAGCCACCCTACAGCCAGAAGAGATACGAGGAAATCGTTAAGGAAGTCAGCACCTACATTAAGAAAATTGGCTACAACCCCGACACAGTAGCATTTGTGCCAATTTCTGGTTGGAATGGTGACAACATGCTGGAGCCAAGTGCTAACATGCCTTGGTTCAAGGGATGGAAAGTCACCCGTAAAGATGGGAATGCCAGTGGAACCACACTGCTTGAAGCTCTGGATTGCATTCTGCCACCAACTCGTCCAACTGACAAGCCCTTGCGTCTGCCTCTCCAGGACGTCTACAAAATTGGTGGTATTGGTACTGTCCCTGTGGGCCGAGTGGAGACTGGTGTTCTTAAACCTGGCATGGTGGTCACCTTTGCTCCAGTCAATGTTACAACTGAAGTCAAGTCTGTTGAAATGCATCATGAAGCTTTGAGTGAGGCTCTTCCTGGGGACAATGTGGGCTTCAATGTCAAGAATGTATCTGTCAAAGATGTTCGTCGTGGCAATGTGGCTGGTGACAGCAAAAATGACCCACCAATGGAAGCAGCTGGCTTCACAGCTCAGGTCCTGAACCATCCAGGCCAAATTAGTGCTGGATATGCACCTGTGCTGGATTGTCACACAGCTCACATTGCTTGCAAGTTTGCTGAGCTGAAGGAGAAGATAGATCGTCGTTCTGGAAAAAAGCTGGAAGATGGTCCCAAGTTCTTGAAATCTGGTGACGCTGCCATTGTTGATATGGTTCCTGGCAAGCCTATGTGTGTTGAGAGCTTCTCTGACTATCCTCCTCTGGGCCGTTTTGCTGTTCGTGACATGAGACAGACGGTTGCTGTGGGTGTCATCAAAGCAGTGGACAAGAAGGCAGCTGGAGCTGGCAAGGTCACCAAGTCTGCCCAGAAAGCTCAGAAGGCTAAATGAATATTATCCCCAATACCTGCCACCCCAGTCTTAATCAGTGGTGGAAGAACGGTCTCAGAACTGTTTGTGTCAATTGGCCATTTAAGTTTAATAGTAAAAGACTGGTTAATGATAACAATGCATCGTAAAACCTTCAGAAGGAAAGGAGAATGTTTTGTGGACCATTTGTTTTTTTTTGTGTGTGTGGCAGTTTTAAGTTATTAGTTTTTAAAATCAGTACTTTTTAATGGAAACAACTTGACCAAAAATCTGTCACAGAATTTTGAGACCCATTAAAACAAAAGTTTAATGAGAAAAAAAAATAAATAAATAAATAAAAAGCACAAACCTACAAGCTAAGTTGATATGTAGCTGCATTGTACTAGTTTGTATTTGCAAAAAGCAACACAGGAAGGATAAACAAAATACTAATGAAAATAGGTACCTTATAAGGGTCAGGGTAGAACAAAGTGGGATAGTCAGGGGTAGAAGCAAGAATTCTCTGTGTTTATCTTTCTGAAGAATTTTGAAAAGCCCTTAAATTAAGAATAGTTTAAATAAACAAATACTTGTTTGAATAAATGTTTGAAGCAAAAACAAAACTGACAAGGGAAGGATTTATTCCAAAGACTTCAGAAACAGTATTTTGACTATACACCCTTAGCAAGACCCACTGTAATGATAAAACAAACAAACAAATAAAAACTCTATTCTGTGTAGTAATATTGATTTTGGGGGTTTTTTTCCTTTTTAATTTTATTTACTTGTTTGAAAGAGAGAAAGAGCATGACGGGGGACAGAGGGAAAGAGAAGCAGACTAATTCCCACTGACCAGAAAGCCCAATAAAGGGCTCCATCCCAGGACCCTGAGAGCATGACCTGAGGGGAAGACAGATGCTTAACCGACTGAGCCACAGGCACCGAATGTTGGTATTTTGAAACTATTTCCTTTATATAATAGGCTAAAGCAAGTAAGTATTATGTTATTGTCAGGCATCCAGATCTTCAAAGCAAGAGAAATAACCCACGATTATAAAAATCAAAGAAATCTGATGAATATTCAAATGTTAAAACTGAACTAAAAAATCAATGTGAGAGGCACCTGGCTGGTTCAGTAGGTAGAGCAGGCAACTCTTGACCTCAAGGTTGTAAATTCGAGCCCCATGCTGCGTGTAAAGATTACTTAAAATTCAAATCTTTAAGAAAAAAAAAATATCAATATGAACTCTCTTTTTAAGATAAGTATTTTCTAGTTCTGTTCACTGAAATGGCATAGAAACAATGTCACTTTGGTAACAATGGGCATCTGTTCAGAGTCTAGATTATATACCTTGATATAATTCATGATGAAAAGGGCTCCCAACTAATTTC